CATTCCTGCCTCTCTGATTTCTCCATTGGAGGATGTTGCTTGCTCAAAATCTACTCTCCCACGCTTATGCTCCGCAAAATGCTTATGAATTCTCTCTGCATCCCCCAGTCCAGTAAAAGTTCCTAAGAACTTCACCACCAACATACTCTGGTCAGCAGGCTTCCCCAGGCACATCTTGATTCTTCCTTTGATTAAACCTTTACCTGCCATTTCAAGGAGAACCCAAAAGATTCAAATCAGATAATTGTAAACCTAGCTCCAAGTAATTCAAAAATCTACGAACGCAAAAGGCATATTGATATGATAACCCGAATATTGTCACTGATTCAGATGCTACATGCTAACAATTTTAGCTGATAGAACATGATACAGTTCATTCTTCTTTTCTAGTTTCACTTCATTTTTCTAATGCTTTTCCTATCAACTTTATGCTCAAGCATTTGATAGCCTTAGTACATCTGGAAATTTTCACCATTGGGATTTTTAAGACCAAAGTCACTCACCTCTTAGAAAAGCCTCAAGCGCTTCAATGGTAACCACCTTCCAATTTTGAGGATTGTTGTCTGACATAGAAATATTGTGGACAATAATAACTGGAGGCCAGAGAATCAAATCTTCCTTCTGAGCCAAAGCTTCTGCCTTGGGCAAGATATGGGGAACCCATGTGACAGTGTCAGAGGGAACAACAGTACTCCACCCCAACAGAACACAAACTGCTTTGAGAAGGCCCAAATGCTGTGCCCTCAAACCAACTTTGTGAGACATAAATGCATGTGTTACCAAACGTCGAGTGTCCATGAACTCCTTTGAGAAGCTGTAACAGCATAGATAAATAAACAAATGAAAACTGACATATTACTTGTGAGTATAACTTCTACCCAAACAAGCGGAAGGCAGAAACATCAACGGTATCCCATTTAAACATGCTAATCGATACCATATTCAAATTCCATGCCCTAACAAGTATCATATATGCAAATAATAAAAAAGAAAATTAAAAAAAAAGACTTTGATATCTTCACCAAGGATAAATAAATAGTGAAAACAAAAACCAGAAACTTTTTGAAGACCCTCAACTGCTACAGCCTTGTTTGATTTAAATTAATCATCTTGTCTCTCATTTGCTACAAAGCTCGATTACCTCATATCAAGTAAAACACATTCATAAGATCCGATATTTATATCAGCAACAAACTACCACAACCTCCTTTTATCAGGCTTGGGATAGACTTGTATCAAATTTAAGACAAGTCTGACACAGAAGATATCCTCATAAAAGTACAAAGTACACATCAACCTTGGAGCAGTAACAAAACAAAACAATGCCCTGTCTAACACTCGATAAGACTTTGTCCAATGATTGCTTTCTTAATTTCACCCTTGAAGCTTTATGACATTTTTTTATATAAAATTTCTAATTTGGGTTCTAATCGTCTTTTCTAAAAGCTCTTAGTTATCTTCCACAGCATATAGGAAGTAGCCTACATATTCAAGAACTTCACAACCAAAGAAATATTTGGTCTTCCCATGTCACCTGAAAGATCATGTTAATACCATGCAAGATTGATTAGCAAAGTATCCTTTCCACCTATTTCTTAAAAGTCATTCAGCGATCTCTTGGGTTTGGTAAAGAATTCTAAACAATAAGCAGCTTAATTTGCACAAGGATGTATCCAAACTTGCTTATCACCTCTCAGCCAGCAAACCAAATGGTTGATGTCAATGTCACTGACTTCTTAGATCATTGCGAAAGGGAACTTTGCGCCTACTCATGCAGTGTATTCCAACAGAACCTATTTCTCCAACTTCCATTGCAAATCCTTCTTTTGCATTCCTTATCCAGCTTTATATGATTTTCCGCTGGACGATGACCCTTGTGTTATCAAACGGTGTCTGTCATTCCCACTAAGAAAGCCAGGTTACTTAAAATTTCAACCATAATTGGTGAATGAACTCCAAAAGCACCATTCTCTATTAGTTGGCGTTTGCCCCAAGACCAACATGGAACAAATCAAAAACCACATAATTTTCACGAAATTTAAATGTCATAAAAAGCAACTTGAACTAGCATCATGGCGTAACCTTTATGGCTTCACCCACATTTGTGGAGCTCACCAGAGATTCATGCCTTCCTACACTGAATTGATTCCAATTCACCACCCACCTCTAAACATTAACCAGATAACTATATAACAAAATCAAATTATTGGTCATGTAAAAATCCTAAAGAAAACCCTAGTAACAAAAGCTTAGAGTTACTGCATGGGAGTAATACTTAAAGTTTCCTGAATGAAAAGATCATAACTGGAGCCCCACTTGAAAAGAATATGATAGAAAAGAAAAACAGACCTTCGGCCACATACGATGCAGAACAAAGTACCAGCCTTTCCTTGTTCCTTGTATCTTCTCTGGACAGCCGTGTTCATATTTAGCTTTTTAGAGTACTTTAAAAAGGCTTCATGTACCATTTGCATAAACTCCACAGAATCCTCGGATGGCTCAGGACCTGTAGAGCTCATCCCATTTTCTGATGGATCAGCATCATTACCATCATCTGCATGGACATCTTCTAGATAATTATCATTTCTTTTCCAAACTCTGTTCTGTTTGTGAACACCACTTTTTATATCAGTGTGGTTCAACTTATGTCTACTTAATGAACCAGGTTTTCGATGACCCTTTAAATACCGATCACCATGTTTATAAAATCTGACTGAATGCCTTTGTGCTTGTGCCAAAGAGCGTTGAGATGGCAACCAATCATCGGATGCATATTCATCATGATAGTTTCGCCCAACAAACCCCCTCTCAGCCTTACTGTATCTATTATGGTCAAATCCAGCTGAAGCAGATGTATACAAATTGCCTACATCTCCATCATTCCACTCTTCACCACTATCATATAAATCCTGGAATTCTCTAGACCTCCATTTATCAGACATAAATGTTCTAGGATTATGTGTACTTGTATCTTCTCCAATAACATAGTTTCTTTTGAGCACCCTATCTGATGGTTCATATATTCCAAGCTCCTCTCTCCTAATCTGCATTCCAATAGTATGCCTACGCATTTCTGAATCATATGTAGGCAGAGGAGACAGCCTGTCCTGATACTTCATACTCACATCTCTTTCCAAACCATAATCTGCTTTCAGGTGTGAGATCTGACAATCCTGTGACGCACCAAAATGGCATATTTCATAATCTTGTGACATTCTCCTTCCAAAGTCGTCATGTGTGCATCCAGAACCCAAATATGTCCCACCATGTTTTGATGCCTCTGATATCCTGCTTCTATCAGGGTAGTCTGATAATGATTGCCTTTGCAATGTAGGATTATTCAGCATAATGCCCTTTCTTGAGTTTCCAGAAGAATCCTCAGTATTATCTAATCTGTCCATAGCAGGGTTCATAATACTAGGTCTTGAAAAATTTCCATGATTATAAACCATTTGAGTATGATCAATGTTTAGTGGTGCTCGTGGATGCATCATTTTGTGTAAGTCATCAGATGGATATCCACGATCATCAACTGCCATTCCCCTTGATTTGGTGTGAAAATAATCATCATGCTCACCTCTAGTAGGACTACATCTCTGGTAAAATGAAAGATTCCTCTTGCCAGAATCAGGGTCTCTAGAAGAATCGGCTAGTGGCCTTTGCTTATAGGCATTGATGCTAAAGGAATCTGTAAGTTTCCGGCTGCTACTTGAAAATTCATCCAAAGAAGGCAAGTGCATGCCACCCCGATAAGATTCCTGAAATTCACTCCTTATGCCTGTGGAGGAGCTAGCAAGGAAATCCTCCGAATGAGCACCTGACATCATGGGGTGCACACCATCCCTTGAAGGAAAAATGGGGTTCTCTCCTTTGTAGGATTTCGTCACCGGTAATCTATCCAAAGCAACAGGATCCAGATAATGAAGTCTTTCTTGCTCAAAATGGCGTATATTCATGCTTCGTGATGATGATGGCAAGTGGGCACCACTCTCCCCAGGAGTTATCACAGGATACGGGTCTGGAGGCGGCCAATATGTTCCTAGTACAGTGTTATCTTCGGTAAGGACAGATTTTGATCCCCTTACCGCACCATCTTCCATAAGCACTGATTTTTGACTCAACGTCCCATGTTTATCACCAGCTGACAATCCGATTTCATTTAATTCTTCTTTACTGATTCTAGAATCATTATGGTCAGACCCGTAAACTCGTCTACTATTCAAATCATCAGTTGCATTATATGTTCCAGGCTCAGCCAATTCTTGTCTGCGTGGTAACTCCGAACGAACTGGTACCTGTGGCGGCGGTGAATAATTCCTACGCAAAACCCCAACCCCTTCATCAAAATGCGGCCTTTTCCGCATGTTGCCAAAAGGTTGCACTGGTGACGCCGATCTTGACCTCTGCCTCACACGATCAGTCCTACCACCACCCAAATGCCAACCATAGTCCCTCCTATCAATATAATCAGTCCTTTGACTCACACCCACATCCTGTTGCAATTCGTGAGGGCTCAAAGTCCCCCTAATAGAGTGATCAGCCGCCTCACGCCGTATATTACTCCTCCTACTACCACTATACGGTTCAGTACCCGATTCGAGCCGGTTGTGGGCACTAAATCTAGAAGCTGGGGATTGCTTATTGAAATTATCATGCTTCCCGGATTGCATTTTGAAATTCACAGCTACTAGAAGCCCTCAGGTTTCTATTTCATATATAATTGAATAAATATTATGGCAAGAGCTTGAAAACCCTAACCCTAGTGACACACATCCAATCACAACCTTAACAACACTCGTACAAATGGATAACAAACAGATATCACCACACGGAAATTGAATTCCATGGAAAGTGAGAATTCTCAGAAGAATTTCGAACCTTTTGTTGCAAATCCATGAAATTATTGTCCACGAAGAGAATCGATCTTATTGCAGAAAAAAAACACGATCTTTCTGACTTTCGCTTATTTCTTCTCCGATTTTCCGATCCGTGAACCACAAACTTGATGCTGCTGCTGCTTCTTCTTCTCAGAATTTCTGGTTCGAGCCAACGAGCATGAGAAATCGTTCCAGCTTGACTTGGAATTTCTTTGCTTTTTTCGCTTTTGGTCGCTCAAAGAGTTTTCAGAATTGGATGAAAATTGGAAGTGGAAGATTCGGGGTCGCTCTGCTTTTGGTAGTGGGCACACTATATTAAATTTTTAATTACTTTTTAATTACTTGGGGGTGAGGGTTAAGAAGGATAATTATTTAATTTGTTAGTGGACGAGGATCGTGTGATCCGACGTGACTGTTTTGGCTTCATCACCACCGTTTGTTTAGAATACTTTTCAGGTCATATTTTACATTTGGGTTTTTAAATATAAACGTCCCTGAACTTTACCTCCAATTGCAATTAGGTCCGTACACTTTTTTTTGAGGCAATTACATCCTTTAACTTCATAAGTTGTTCCAATTGGGTCCTGCCATCCAAATTTGTCAATTTGTCCGTCAAAATAAGTGGTAAAAGCATCCTTCTGAGCTGCAGAATGATTAAAAACAAAATTGAATAAAAGAAACCCCAACTGTGATTAGCAAACCATATGGCTCAAATTGAGGTGGGTTCATCTTTTATGAATTCTCAGAGCAAAGACCACACAAATTTTGTACTTTCTAGTGAAAATATAGAAACACCGAAGTGTTGGAAGAGAACCCATTTCTTATAATTACCGTTCGAGCCTTCTTGGCTTTCTTTGGAGCGAAAACCACCAAGCCTATTCTCTATCTGACAATTTACAAGCTTTGCCATTGCCACACTTTCTTTCACTCTTACACAAGATCACACTGTCTTTCTCCCTCTCACACATACATTCTCTTGGGCTTATATGAGATTTATGAACAGGTTTGCAGACATGGAGCTGGTCATTGTGAAAACTCCAATACACCCCTCACAATAAGAGCATGTGCCATTCACGCGGTCAAACTTGACGGATTCTGTTACGGTAGGACCCAATTGGAACTATTTGTAGAGTTAAAGGATGTAATTGCCTAAAAAAAAAAGTTCACGGACCCAATTGCAATTGGGTGCAAAGTTCAAGGACGTCTACAGTTAAAAACCCTTTACATTTTTACTAGAGTTTCAGGTGCCCACCTGAGGTTTGGCCTAAGGCTTAATTATACCAATGCCTCCTGAAACTTCAGTCAAATCCCAGTTTACTCTCTCAAACTCAAAATAGCCCACTTTCATTCCTTGATCGAGGTTTGGTGACCCAGTTTGCCATATACTGTCAACTCCATCTAAAAGTTTATTAACTTTGATGACGTGGCAAGTGAAGGAACTACTTTTAGGCTGATGTGTCAATAAAAATAAAAAATAAAAACCTTAAAGTAATAAAACATTAATATTCTTTTTTAAAAACTAATATTTTTTAAAACATAATTAAAAAATAATAATAATAATTTCTCAATCGTCATCCTCTCTCTCCTCGAGCCACCTTCTTCGACCCAACCCACATATCCGCCAGTGACCCACCCCAACAAACCCCCTGCTTAGGAATCGCTCCCCCACCAGCTATCCGCCTCCCTCGCCATCTCTTCGTATGCAACTCCCCTATGACCCACAACCAATCTCAGCCCCCACCCCTCCCTCAATTCATGAAAATAATATAAGAAAAAGAAACAAAAAATACAAAAAATTGAAAAAAAGAAAAGAAAAAAAGCAAGCCAAGTCATCCCTTTCATGTTAACACAGCCCACCTCATCCTATCTCACCACCCCATCCTCAAGCCCAGCCACCCCACCTCCACCCGCCTCCTTTTCTCTCTCTCTCTCTCTCTCTCTCTCTCTCTCTCTCTTTTAATTTGTTGAACTAGCCCGCCTAGATCTAAACTCCACCACTATCGCAACCCAATTTGTAGCACCAATCCGCCCCTCTTTTCTTCAAGCTCGCAATGTACCCCTAGAGCGCCGCGAAGAACGGTGACGTGCCGTTCATCTTCGTCCTCATCACGCCGTCCATATCTGAGAAAGAAAGAGAGGGGGAAAGAGAAGAAGAGAAGGATGAATAGAGTGGGAGAGAGAGAGAGATTGGGATGGGGATGGATTTTTTTGGTTACTTTTTAAATTTTATTTTGTTTAAATGTAGTTTTTTTTTCTGTTTTTTTTTTAATTATTGAAATATTTAATTATATTTTATCTATGTAGAGGTGGGCTTCACTTGCCACATCTCCCACTCAATTGGTGGATAATGATCCATGTGTACGAAATTACAAAACACCTATGTCACGTCATCAAAGTTAACAGACTTTTTGATGGTGTTGAGGCCAGGAGGCAAAGTGGGTCACCAAACCTCGGTTAAGGGATGAAAGTGGGCTAATTTGAGTTTGGAGAGGCAAAGTGGGATTTGATCGAAGTTTCAGGGGCCCTTCTCTTTTGAAATGGAATCGATGAAAGCGAGAGATTTACAAAATGTAGTCAAGGTTTAAGCTTTTTAATTGTTTGCTTGCTTTGTTGGGTCAGTTCTAAAGGTGTTGAGTTTGAAAAGTCTAGAATAAAAAATTGTTGTGGTCCCCTATGTCTTGTTATTATGTTTTCCTATTTACTAGTTATTTATAGGTTCTTTTAGTGCTTTAAAAATGTTAGTTGCGTGTGAATCTTGCTCCATTGTTGTTCCATGTCTGTTTACTTGGTAGTTTGGTCTTTGTGTTTGTTGAAGGAAAATATGAACCTCCCAACATAATTTCACCACCACTAATTAATTAATGGGGTTTTATTATTTTAGGTTCGACTCATTCGAGACGCAAGTCTCTTAATTACAATCCCTTGCTACAAGGGAAAACCCTTTGATTCCATCATAAAGAAACAAAACGTGTGTGTTTAGTTATGCAGCTGCTCCCAAGTCCAACCTCAGGGTGCCTACGTATCCATTGCAGGAATCAAGCCACTCGTAGTTCAAAGATTCGCAATGAATAAATGACTCATCACAATTGGAGGAATTTGAATGAATTTGATTGAGGAGTGTTTGAATGAATTTAGCTGAATAAACCAGGGATTTGATATGGAATTGTGTTTGGGATGGTTGCATCTAGATTGAACCTCTAGATTGCCTACATACCCTTTCAAAGGGATCAAACCAACGTAGTTTGGAATTTGGGAATTAATGGGTAAGTGTAGCCCACTAATTGAGAATGTGTGTCTTTGGGACATTTTGGGGATTTTAGACCTATGGGAAAAATTGGAAATTAATGGGTAAGTGTGGCCTGCTAATTGAGAATTTCTGTTTGAGAGATTTGAATTTAATCTCATTGGAATTTTCATGGGTAGATGACCCCTGAAAAATTGGATGGTTTTGTACCACTTTCGTTGTTGTCAATGTCCAAGAAAAATAATGACTAATTTTAATTATCCCATTAATTTTTCCCTAAAAATTGACAATTGCATTTGGGAAAGTGTTTTGTCAAAATTTGGTTAAGATAAACCAGAGATTTAAATTTGGTTGCGGTTGCGTCTACGTACCCTTGACGAGATCAAACTGACGTAGTTCCAGAATCGCAATGAGTAAATGACTCATTGCGGAGGGAAATTTGATTTAAATTGCGTGGTTTTGTACCACATAGGCCTTTGATGTGGTTTTGTACCACTTGGGCTTCAATTTGTTGATTTAGGAATTAATGGCATTTTAGAATTTAAGCACATTATTCCATAATTTGTGGACTTGAGACTTTGCACCAACTATTCACCAATTGGAATTTTTTAATGAACAAGCCCGTTGTATTTGAGACCGTCGAGTCTTGGAATGTCGGCTTGAGCTGACTGGTCTTGAGATGTGAGACGAGCCTCGTGGGTATGAGACCATTATGTCTTGGGCCATCAAATCTTGCAATTTCGTATTGGGCTTATTGCTGTCACAATTTGGTAATAGGCTGAACCTTCACAAGTCTTTAGCTTTCTTGATCACGTTTTCTAAACCCAAAGCAACAACCCACATGGTCTTTCAACTTGCAAACTGAGGTCCTTTGTGACCTTTGGCTATTTTGTTTGCTTGCTTTTATCTTGAGTCTGATTTTTGTGCAGGTGGAGTTGGAACAAAAGGGAATAAAACCACTTTCTTCTTATTTTCACAAGGTAGGTTCACCTCCACAGGCTTTTATTCTTTTTTTTTTCTTCTTCTATTTACATTCAGCAAAACGTAGTAAACCAAAGGCCTTGCTTTGCTCCAGCTAGACCCCTCAGGTATTGGTGCCATTAACAAGTGTCCTTCAATTTGATTAAGACACCCAAAGGATAAAAATCCTTCTCCAAGTGAAGTATGGATTAAGCTCCTTGTTGATTTGGAACTGCTGGATCATCCAGTAAAGTAAACTTCTTGTCCACATAGGATTGGGCCATATGTGTTTTTCTTATAAAAAAGAAAACATATGTGCACCAGCAAATAACAAAAAAATGAAAGTCTTAATATCATTCTTTGTTTGCATCTCCAGACCAGCACATAGCCCTGGTCAAAGCCACATGTTGCACCATAAAAGAGAAGAGGATTTCACGTGGTAACCCATATGCCATTCTTTAGTTCTTCTTTTTTATTTTTATTTTTTTAATTTATTGATTGAACTAACTAGGATTTTTGCATGGACAGCAATAACAGTAGCAATAGAAGACCCTCCAATCAATTGGATGCTTCTGGGCTTCAGTCTCACAAGTGACTTGGAACCAAAAGAGACAAATTCTCTTATTGTCCCTTGTGTGTTGTAACTTTCCCAAGGTCAATAACCGAAGACAAAGGGAAAAAGAAATCTTTTTGCCTTTCACATGGTAACCCACCCCATGAACTCATTTTTCCTTTGCTTTTTTTCTTTTGTCTGTTTCCATGCTTTTGACCTCTTGTCTTCTCTTTTGTAT